ATAGATCACTGAAAGTTGCCACGCAGGCTGATAGCGTTGTTAAGAAGGTGTACAGTATGTTAGGTTTTATTGGTAGAGGGATTGAGTTTCGGAGCCATGAGGTCATGTTGCAGCTGTACAAAACTCTGGTGCGGCTGCACTTGGAGTATTGCGTACAGTTCTGGTCACCGCATTATAGGAAGGATGTGGAAGCATTGGAAAGGGTGCAGAGGAGATTTACCAGGATGTTGCCTGGTATGGAGGGAAGGTCTTATGAGGAAAGGCTAAGGGTCTTGAGGCTGCTTTCGTTAAAAAGAAGAAGGTTAAGAGGTGACTTAATAGAGACATACAAGATGATCAGAGGATTAGATAGGGTGGACAGTGGGAGCCTTTTTCCTCGGATGGTGATGGCTAGCACAAGGGGACATAGCTTTAAATTGAGGGGTGATAGATTTAGGACAGATGTCAGAGGTAGGTTCTTTACTCAGAGAGTAGTAAGGGCGTGGAATGCCCTGCCTGCAAAAATAGTAAACTCGCCCACTTTAAGGGCATTTAAATGGTCATTGGATAAACATATGGATGATAATGGAATAGTTTAGGTTAGATGGGCTTCAGATTGGTTTCACAGGTCGGCGCAACATCGAGGGCCGAAGGGTCTGTACTGCGCTGTAATGTTCTATGAAAAGTGGTGCAGTCTTTTTTTACCGTGGAGGTGGATTGATTCATTGAAAGGATGGAGGTGAGAGGAAGGAACTGGGAAAGTGGAGTCATCAGCTCAAACCCTAATCTGAATGCATGGTGGCTCAGTGGTTAGCACTACTGCCTCACGGCAACAAGGACCCAGGTTCGATTTCACCCTCGGGCGACTGTCTACGTGCAGTGTGCATGTTCTCCCCCATGTCTGCATTTTCTCTGGTTTCCTCTCACAGTCCAAAAATGTGCAGGCTAGGTGGATTGGCCATGCTAAATTGTCTCATAGTGGCCGAGGATGTGTAGACTAGGTGGGTTAGCCATGGGAAATGCAGGGTTACAAGGAGATAATATGGGGTCGGATTGCTCTAGGGAGGGTCTCTGTGAACTCGATGGGCTGAACGGCCCATTTCAACGTTGGGGGGATTCTACCTTGCTCTTCAATCATATGACCCTGGGCGCTAGGACCTTTGGGCGGGAAGCGACGGGATTGGACATGGGGCCCCAAGAGAAAAACGGGGCGGGGCTGGCGACAATGGTGGGCGGGAGAGCCGCCAACCAATCAGAGGGCGGGTGGAGGTCGGCCTACGTCTGGCTCATCGACGCGGGCCTTCTGCGCATGCGCTCTGCCTTCTCAAGAAGCTCCGGCCGTTAACCGACACCGTGTATTGCAGTAAAAAGAAACAGCCCGACCAGCCGCTTGACGTGTCTGACCGTTACTTTCTTGTTCGGATGAAGACCGCATGGATATGGTTTGTAACAGTCTCTCTCTATCCCCCCAGACTCCATCCCTTTTCTTCCCTCCCGCGGACCCCGTGATGTCTCAGCCATCGGCACTCTCCATCCCGTCCGCAAGCAACGCCGAAAGTGCGCATGCTCCCAGCCGGCTTGGAATGACGGCGGCTGTCGGCCAATAGGTCGTAGGAGGGCGGGTCCGGAAGACCGCAGGCCAACAAGCTGGTCCTCCAGCCAATCGGAGTGAAAGAGTGGGCGATCCTGCAGAACCGTTAGCAGTGGCGACAGTCTTCCAGCCAATTGGAGTGAATGAGGGGCGGGGGCTGAAGGACAGCGGGATGCGGCTCCCAACAATCGGTGCGGGCGAAGGGCGGGGCTGGAGGACCGGTAGGTGGCAGTCCTCTCACCAATCGGAGTAACTGAGGGGCGGACCTCTGGGTATGGTTCGACGCCCAATGGCCCGCGCCATGTTGGGTAGGGATCAGGTATTTCCCTGAGAGGCAGACTGGGGCTCATAGTCTTAGGGGAGAATCAGGCTGCACAGGAACTAGAATTATCTGTTTTCTTTTCTATCCTGTCCATAGAGTCAGGACTTTTTTTTTAAAAAAATGAACAACTCCTTCTACGAGGTTATCAGGAAGAGGAATAATAGACCCACAGGAAAATCCAATGAGACATCTGTCACAGAGTGGGAAAAGACCAACATCAACATCAATGCGACTGGAAAAGCCCTAAGTGACCCCCTACATACTCAACTAGAATTTGGGGAGATGTTGATTTGATTTATTATTGTCACATGGACCTGGGTACAGTGAAAAGTTCTGTTTTGCACATTCACCTGCTCCTCCTGTTGAAAGGGATTGATGCAGGGGGTAAACATGCTGACCCGCCAGCAAGTTCGAAATAGTGAGAGGCAGTTCACCACCAGCTCTGCATGCGGGAAGAGATTCAGCGGGTCAGCGCATGTTGCAGAGCACCAGCAAGTCGACAACAGCGATAAGCCCTTTGGGTGCTCTCAGTTTGGGCAGAGATTCACTCAGCACCCCCGCGACAGCGAGCACCAGCTGGTTCAACCGGACAAGAGGCTTTTTAAATGTTCCGAATGCGAGAAGGTTTTTAAAAAGAGCAGCGGCCTGCTGATTCACCGGCGCACTCACACGGGAGAGAGACCATTCGCTTGCTCTGAATGCGGGAAGAGATTCACACGTTTGTTCCACCTTCAGATACACAACCATGTTCACACTGGGGAGAGGCCATTCACTTGTCCGATGTGCGGGAAGGGATTCGTTCAGTCTTCTGACCTTCTGAAACACAAGCGAGTTCACACGGGGGAGAGGCCATTTGCCTGCTCCAAGTGTGGGAAGAGGTTTGCTGATTCGTCCCACCTCCTGACACACCAACGAGTTCACACTGGGGAGAAACCATTCACCTGCTCAGAGTGTGGGAAGAGTTTCCCTCGTTTTTCCCACCTTGTGATACACAAGCGTGTTCACACCGGGGAGAGGCCGTACGTTTGTGCGGTGTGTGAGAAAGGGTTTACTTGTTCTCACCACCTGCAGAAACACCAGTCTGTTCACACTGGGAACAGGGCCTTTAGCTGCTCTCTGTGTGGAAAATGTTTCACTCAGTCATCCAGCCTCCAGAGACATCAACGCACTCACACTGGGGAAAAGCCATTCACCTGTCCCGTGTGTGGCAAGAAATTTGCTCAGTCGTCTGAATACACTGAACACCAACGTGTTCACTCTGACAACAGGCCTTTTAAATGCTCCGAATGCGAAAAGACCTTTAAGAGAAAGCATGATTTACTGAAACATCAATATGTTCACAGTGGGGAGAAGCCTTTCCCCTGTTCCGAATGCGGCAAGAGATTCATTAATTCATCTGATCTGGTGCGACATCAGGGCACCCACACGGGAGAGCGGCCGCTCACCTGCTTCATGTGTGGGAACGGATTCAGTGACTCATCCCACCTGTTGAGACACCAGCGAAGTCACACTGGGGAGAGGCCGTTCACTTGCTCCGTGTGTCAGAAGGGATTCACGCACTCATCCAGCCTGCTGAGACACCAGCGTGTGCACACCGGGGAGAGGCCGTTCACCTGCTCGGTGTGCGAGAAGCGATTCACTCACTCGTTCAACCTGCTGCGACACCAGCGCGTTCACACTGGGGAGAGACCATTCACCTGCCCTGTGTGTGAGAAGAGATTTAGACACTCCTCCCACCTGCAGAGGCATCAGCGCACTCACATATTGCCAGCAAATGTTGTCACTGCTGAGAATGAAACCCAGGACTGATTTTTTTTTTCCTCTCTCTTTTATAACTCAAGATCGTTTTCAGCTCTCCTTCCTTCGGTAAACACAAAACCCAGTGGTTACTGTGACTGAACTTAAGTGTGTGTCCCACAGTGTCTCTCTCTCTCACACACAAGGTGTGAATCAAGCCTGCAAGTCTCTTTTAAAATTAAAATCCCCTCAGAAAATGTAATTAACAGGAGCCTGCAGACTGACGTTCTTGTGAAGTTGACTATTATGCCTATACTGCTTTGTCATTGTGCCTGTAATGGAAAATGTCTGAACCACTGTCCCAGTGGAACTTTTGCTGTCGTGAGTGTGTATTAATGAGTCTCGAGTCCTTGCTGATGTTGGCTGCAATTGTGTAGAAAGGGCGATGTGAAAAGAGCTGGTCTTTGTACGGAGATGTGAAACATGGAAATGGTGTCTGTGTATGAAAGTGATACAGCCTTAGGCTGACAGTCAGAACAATGCACAGATATCCTTGTGGTTAGAGCAGGGTCAGATGACAAAAGTTACCTGTAAAATCCCCTGCATAGGTACAGCTTGTTAGATGTGGGGAGAGCAGAACTCTGAATCCACTGTATTATCCATCTTCACCGGATTGGGTAACTATACTTTATTGTTACATACTGAGAGCTGTGAATTCACTGTCCTATCACTGTTGTCTGGATCAGATAACAACATTTTGTCTGTATCATTACCTAATTGCTAATAAAGTCAGTGAGAGACAATCTTTTATTGGGAATTTGAGTACCCGGTGTCTGAAACCACATTTGATAAATGGCAGACCGGTACAAAAGGTGAAGTCATATGGTATCAGGGGTGAGCTGGCAAGATGGATACAGAACTGGCTTAATCATAGGAGACAGAGGGTAACGGTGGAAGGATGCTTTTCAGAATAGAGGACTATGACTAGTGGTGTTCCACAGGGATCAGTGCTGGGACCTCTGCTGTTCATGGTCTACATAAATCATTTGGGGGGACAAACATAGCTGGTCCAATTAGTAAGTTTGCAGACGATACAAAGATTGGTGGAGTTGCGGATAGTGAGGAGTATTGTCGCAGAATATAGCAGGATATAGCTCAGTTGGAGTCATGGGCAGGAAAAAGGCAGATGGTGTTTAATCCGGACGAATGTGAGGTGATGCATTTTGAAAAGTCACGTACAGGTTGAAATTATACAGTGAATGGCAGAACTCTTAGGAGTATTGATATGCAGAGGGATCTGGGTATGCAGGTCCACAGATTACTGAACGTGGTAGTGCGGGTATACAAAGTAGTAAAACAGGCCTATGGCATGCTTGCCTTCATTGGAAGGGGCATTGAGTATAAGAATAGACAAGTTATGCTGCAGCTTTACAGAAATTTTAGTTAGGCCACATTTGGAATATTACGTACAGTTCTGGTCACCGTGCTACCAGAAGGATGTGGATGCTTTGGAGAGGATACAGAAAAGGTTTACCAGGATGTTGCCTGGTTTGGGGGATTTTGGCTATGAAGAAATGTTGGATAGACTGCATTTGTTTCACTGGAACGCAGCAAATTGAGGGACGGCCAAATAGAAATTTATAAGACCGTGAATGACATGGATAAAGTGGAAAGTATGAGGCTTTTTCCCCAGGGTGGAGGTGTTAATTACCAGAGGACACAGTTTCAAGGTGCGAGGGGGAAGCTTAAAAGAGATGTGCGAGGCAAGTTTTTCCACACAAAGGGTGGTGAGTGTCTGGAATGCATTGCCAGAGGTGGTAGTAGAAGCAAACACAATAGCAGCACTCCAGAGGCACCTGGACGAGTACATGAATAGGAAGGGAATAGAGGGATACGGATCCTGTAAGTGAAGACAGTTTTAGTCTGGAGGGGCAAAATGTGTCGGCGCAGGTTTGGAGGGCCAAAGGGCCTGTTCCTCTGCTATATTGTTCTTTGTTCTATTTAGAGTAATTGCGATAAACACGGAAACACATCTTGGCTCAATCCTCCAGCTTGATATTCACAAGACAGCATCTCTTGTCAATCATCCTGAGTGGACAGAACAGGAGAAAGATCTCAACTGTAAGAAACTATCCAGTCATTTGTAAATATCTCTCAATTGCAAACAGGTACCAACTGTCATCTTCTGTTACATTAAAGCCAATAGCAGAGGGAGATTGATTACTTGGGTATGGAAGGTTTGAGTTGTAAGGAAAGACTGGATAGGCTGGGACTTTTTTACTGGAGCATAGGAGGTGGAGGGGTGACCTTAATAGAGGTTTGTAAAATCATGAGAGGTATAGATACAGTTAATGGTAGGTGCCTTTTCCATAAGTTGGGGAATTTCAAGACAAGGGGGCACATTTTTTCAGGGAGAGGAGAGAGATTTAGAAAAGACATGAGGGGCAAATTTTTTTGCACAGAGAGTGGTTTGAATGTGGAATGAACTTCCAGAGGAAGTGGCAGATGTGGGTACAGTTACATTTAAAACATATTTGGATAAGTACATGAGTAGGAAAGGTTTGGAGGATAGGGGCCAGGAGCAGGCAGGTTGGACTAGTTCAGTTTGGGATTATGTTTGGCATGGATTGTTGGACCGAAGAATCTGTTTCTGTATTCTATGACTCTATGACTCGAAGTCTAAAACATGCAATTTAGACTGAGTATGGTTCCAGTCATGCAGAAAGGATATGATCGCACCAGAAAGACGCAATGTTGTCAGATTCTGGGAATTTTAAAGAAGGGCAGGTCAGATAGACTGAGGTTGTTTCGTCTAGAACAGAGGGGGCTGAGGGGAGTTTTAATTGATGATTATAAAATTATTAGGGGCTCAGATAGCTTGGAAAGGCATTTCATTGACAGCAGGGTCAATAACCCAGAGACAGCCATTTAATCAGCAGAGGGGCTGGAGGAAAGTCGAGGTGGAATATTTTTCACGGAGACACTGGTGGGGCTCTGGAATTCACAGAAAGTGTGCTGGAGGCAGAAACCCTGACAATATGCGGTGGAGGTCTGTAATCCACAGGACGACGGACCAAGAGTTAGAAAGTGGGATCAGTCTGCAACGATCACATTCAGCCAGTGAATGGAGGCTGAATGGCCTCCTCCACTGCTGTAAATTCTGTGACTGAAAGGGGGTCCTTATGTTTATATCCCAAGTCAGGCCTCGGCCCTGTCATTTACTCCAAGCGTTGCCATGACAGTCCAGGCTGAGAGGTGGAGGTACCAGGAGCAGTGAATAAAATGCAAATGTCAGTAAATGCTGATCTTGTTTATCTGGTTCTGCTTTAATCCCTTCTGCTGAATGTGGCCCTCCCTCAGTGCCAGTCTGTGGGCACAAGCTCTGACTCCATTGAACTGTTGAAGATAGGGGAAAGGGGCCCTTTAAACACCATCAGGCCTGACAAGTTCATGCTGACCATAACGCCTAACTAAACTAGTCCCACCTGCCTGTGCCTGGCCCATATCTCTCCAAACATTTCTTATTCAAGTAATTAACTAAGTCTCTTTTAAATGTTATAACTGTACCAGGATCCACTACTTCCTCTGGAAGTCCATCAATGCCAGAACAGCTCTGTGCAAAAAAAAAAAAGAATTAGCCCCGACATCTTTTTTCATCTGGATGTGGAGATTTCCTGTTTTATCCAAGATGACAATCACTTTCTATTTTAGTATTGACGACTGATTAATTGTCATTGAAAAGCTCAGTCCTAGCCTGGCAAACTGTTTCAATCTGTCCCGAACTGTCTCTCTCAGTGGCTCAACTTTAACTATCTACTCAGTCCTGGTGCAACTGGAAAGGTTCCCAAAATTATTCCATCACCTTTTCTAAAGATCTTTTACTTTTTATGAAGGCTGCTTCTTTTTTTCCCCCCTCCTTCAGTTATCGGGGATATTTTGTCCTTATTCTCTGGGAAACTGAACCCGTCTTGTTCCAAACAGTTCCCGACAGTTCAGGAAGTCAGGAATTGATCACCCCTATGCCTACTGTTACAGACCAGTCCAAACGCTCTCAAAATATTTTAAGGAGGTAGCCTAGACCCTAACTTTCTCTTATTTTAGAGGTGAGTGTAAAGTGCTGTGAGCCAGATGCAATGCGACTGGTCAAACTACTCGACGTTCAGCAAAACAAATTATTCAAACACTGTAGTTAAAACACGACGAAAGGATTTGAACCTGGATCCCCAGAAAACAAGCTGAGTTTCTGAATTAATAGTCTCTTGTAGCAACGTGCGGAGAATATCATGTTCACCGCCAATCTGCAAGCCCAGAACCTGCACTGTGCTTTTGGATACACTTATGGATCAGACCAGACCCTCTCAAAGTATTTTAAGAAGGTAGCCTAGACCCTACCTTTTTATATTTTAAAGGTGAGTGTGTAAAGTGCTCCAGATGCAATTCAAGTACTTGACGTTAAACAAAACACAATTTATTCAAACACTATAGTTAAAATACAACAAAAGAAAGAAGAACTTAGAATAATAACTCTATTAGAAAATGTAACAGGATAATAGAGACAGTAACTATTATTATTTGAGACAACAAGGTGCAGGGCTGGATGAACACAGCAGGCCAAGCAGCATCATAGGAGCAGAGAGGCTAACTGTTCCAATACAGTAACATCCCATAAACAGACCCTGCGGCAGAAATGCAAATTCAAAAAACAGATTTTGCCTCACCTGCAATCCAACAGCAGAGAGAAAAAATACCAAGCAAAAACTCCAGAGAGAGGAGCAGCCAAGAGACAATTACTACAGCTTCCAACTCTATCAAGACTACAGCAGCAACTGCTTAAAGTTAAACCTAAAAAAAAACCTAGAAATCTGGTCTGTGAGAGCTGGCCACACCCAGCCAGGCTGCTTCTATTGTTTCATTTTTTTAAAAAAAACCCAAGGCTTCACAAGTGTTTATCTTCTCATAGACTGCTCATCACTTGCCCCCCAGTTGCTCTCTGAAAGGAACCAGGACAAAACACAACTCTTAAGACCACAGCATCGTCACACTTCGATGACAAGTAAATCTCAGAATGTTCCATTGCCAGGATTCCCCACCACGTATTAGTTGGGCAAGTACTGAAACCCAGCTTTCTGACCGTCCAATATTGGACCTCCCAATCCCTGAGCTTATAGCTTTCAACAGGGTCAGTGGTGGAGTTCCACAGCAGGAGTGAGCCCTTCAAAAGTAACTAACTTGTGTTACAAACATTGAGAAGACTTGACATGCTGTGCATAACACAGAGCTGACTTATTTGACTTTATCAGAAATACCAATCCCACCTGTTAAGAGTTTATTAACAGCAACAGATCGTTCAGTCCTGGATGTGATTAACTGTGAAATCCTGCAGTTAATCGCAAACTCACTGGTGACTCAGTGAATGGGATGAGTGAACAAATCCTTCTTACACACTGAGCAGGTGAATGGTCTCTGCCCAATGTAAATTCACTGGTGTTTGGTGAGGTCAGGTGATCTCCTGAACCTGGTCCCACAGTGAGAGCATTTGAATGGTTTCTCATCAGCATGACAAATTAATGGGACATTCATTTCCTTGCCTCATCTGGGCATTGAAAAAGCATCTCGTCACAGTAAACCTCCTAGTGTCTCAGCAGGGTGGATGAGTGAGCGAATCTTTACTTACACCCATCGGACGGTGTATGTGAAAGAGCCCTCCAGTGTGAGCCCATTGGCATTTCAACATGTAAGATAAGATAGTTTTTTTTTTCATTCATGAGTGTGTTGCTGGCTAGGCCCATCCCTAATTGCCCAGAGGGCAGTTAAGAGTCAACAACATTGCTGGGGGTCTGGAGTCACATATAGGCCAGACCAGGTAAGGATGGAAGCTTTCTTTCCATTAGAAACATAGAAGATAGGAGCAGGAGAAGGCCATTCGGCCCTTTGAGCCTGCTCACCATTCATCACGGTCATGGCTGATCGTCTAACTCAGTAGCCTAATCCTACTTTCTCCCCATAACCTTTGATCCCATTTGCCCAAAGTGCTATATCTAGCCGCCTCTTGAATACATTCAATGTTTTGGCATCACGTACTTCCTGTGTTAATGTATTCCACATTAACCACTCTTTGGGTGAAGAAATGTCTCCTCATCTCCATCCTAAATAGTTCTGGACATACTCACCATTGTGAACATTGTCCCTGCATCCACCCTGTCTAGTCCTGTTAGAATTTTATAAGTCTCTATATGATTACCCCTCATTCATCAGAACTCCAGTGAAAACAATCCTAACCTAGTCAATCTCTCCTCATGCATCAGACCTGCCATCCCTGGAATCAGCCTGGCAAACCTTTGCTGCACTCCCTCGAAAGCAAGAGCATCCTTTCTCAGACAAGGAGACCAAAACTGCACACAATATTTTAGGTGTGGCCTCACCAAAGCCATGTATAAGTGCAACAACACATCCCTGTTCCTGTATTCGAAATTTCTTGCAATGATGGCCAACATACCATTTACCTTCTTTACTGCCTGCCGCACCTGCAATGCTTACCTTCAGCGACTGGTGCACAAGGACACCTAGGTCCTGCTGCACATTCCCCTCTCCCAATTTACAGCCATTCAGGTAGTAATCTGCCTTCTTGTTTTTGCTTCCAAAGTGAATAACCTCACATTTATCCAAATTATACTGCATCTGCCATTGATTTGCCCACTCACTCACCCCGACCAGATCATTTTGAAGGATCTCTGCATCCTCCTCATAGTTCAGCCTCCCACCCAACTTGGTATCATCTGCAAACTTGGAGATGTTACATTTTGTTCCCTCATCCAAATCATTAATACATATTATAAAATAGCTGGGGTCCCAGCACTGATCCCTGTGATACCCCACTAGTTACTGCCTGCCAATTTGAAAAGGACCCATTAATTCCGACTCTTTGTCTCCTCTCTGCCAAACAATTTTCTATCCATCTCAAACACTCCCCCCAACCCATGCACTTTAATCTTGTACAATAATCTCTTATGCGGGACTTTGTCAAGCACTTTCTGAAAGTCCAAATATACCACGTCAACTGGCTCCCCCTTGTCAACTCCAGTAGTTACATCTTCATAGAATTCCAACAGACTTGTCAAGTATGCTTCCCCTTCATAAATCCAAGTTGGCTCTGTATGATCCTGCCACTGCTTTCTAAATGCTCTGCTCCTTGATAATGGATTTGAGGATTTTCCCCACCACCGATGTTCGTGAACCAAATAGGATTTTCCCCCATGGATAACAATGGATTCATGGAGAGCATTAGACTCTTAATTCCAGATATTTATTAAATTCAAATTCCACCACCTGCCCTAGCAGGATTTGAACCTGGGTCCCCAGAACAATACCTGGGTCTCTGGATTCAGTAAAAATTCCACTGGACCATCAACTCCCCTGCTTGTGGATCAGTTCCCAAATTCAGAGCAAGTATAATAGAGTCATACAGCACAGAAACCCATCCATACTGACCAGCTTTCCCAAACTAAACTAGTCCCATTTACCTGCATTTGGACAATTTTCCTCTACATTTATCTAATTCATATATCTTTCCAAATATTGTAACTGTACCTGCATCTACGACTTCCTCTGGCAGTTCATTCCACATACACACTACCCTCTGTGAGAAAAAGTTACCCCTCATGTCCCTTTAAAATCTTTCTCCTCTCACCTTAAAAAAAATCCTGTAGTTTTGAATTCCCCTCCCCTCAGGAAAAGACCTTTGCTATTCACCTTATCTATAGCCCTCATGATTTTATACACCTCTACAAGATCACCTCCTAGCCTTTGACGCCCCAGGGAAAAAAATCCAGCTTATCCAGCCTCTCCTTATAACTCAAATCATTCTGTCCTGGTAACATCCTTGTAAATCTTTTCTGCACCCCTTCCAATTTAATGTCCTTTCTGCTGTCCCCTTTGTGAACTCATTGGTGTACACTAGATTGATTCCAGAGATGAGGGAAGAAAGTTTGAGAAGTTTAGGTCTATACCTGTGGAATTTAGAAGAATGAGATGAGATCTAATTGAGGCACAGAAGATGTGAAAGAGAATTGACAAGGTAGATATAGAGAGGATGTTTCCTCATGTGGGATAATCTAGAATGATACGTCATGGTTTTAGGATAAGGGAGGGAGCAGATTTAAAACAGAGATGGGGAAAAATTACTTCCCTGAAATCTGTGGAATTCCCTCCCCCAGAGTGTGGTGGATGCTGGGACATTGAGTAAATTTAAGGAGGAGACGGACAGATTTTTAATCGGTAACGGATTGAAGGGTTATGGAGAGCATGCAGGGAAGTGGAGTTGAGGACCAGGTGAGATCAGCCATCATCGTATCAAATGGCAGGGCAGGTTTGAGGGGCTGAATGGCCAATTCCTGCTCTTTGTTCTTACATGCAGTAATTTGAGATGATTGCCTGAGCCCACTTGCACAGCGAGATCAGATGAATGGATTCTCGTTGGTGTGAACACAATAGATGGTGTCAGTCATTCCCTGGTGCTTTTATAAGCACTTACAGTCATTGAGTTATACAGCACAGAAACAGACCCCTCAGATTAACTTATCCATACCAACCAGATATCCTAAATTAATCTAGTCACATTTGGCCCATATCCCTCTAAACCCTTCCTTTTCATACACCGGTCCAGATGCCTCTTAAATGTTGTAATTGTACCAGCCTCTTCCACCACTTCCTCTGGCAGCTCGTTCCATACAGTCACCACCCTCTGCACGAAAAAGCTGCCCCTCACATCCCTTTTAAATCTCTCCCCCCTCATCTTAAACCTATGCTCTTTATTTTTGGACTCTCTTACCTTGGTGGAAGAGAGCTTGGCTATATACCCTATCCATTCCCCTCATGATTTTATAAACCTCTATAAGGTCACCCCTCAGCCTCCGATGCTCCGGGGAAAACAGCCCCAGCCTATTCAGCCTGATCCTATAGCTCAAACCCTCCAATTCCAGCAGCATCCTTGTAAACCTTTGCTGCACCTTCTCGAGTTTAGTAACATTTTTGCTATAGCAGGGAGACTAGAATTGAATGCAGTTTGCCAAAGATGATCTAAACAGTGTGCTATGCAGCCATGCTTCCCGCAGCCTGGGCACTTAATCGGTCTCTCCTCAGAGCGATCCAAGTTCAATAACCAAATGGATCCTTTACCAGGTGAGAGCAGGAGGATGACCTCTCCCCAGTGTGACTGCACTAATAGCCCAGACAGGAATCTGAAATCCTCTTCATAATCCCTACATTTCTAAGGGGACTCTTTCTCTCCCGTTTCTTGCCCCTCCCCAATTGTGTGTCGACAGCTCAGAGAATTGATTGAAACTTCATCCACCCACACACACACAGACACACACAC